TTGGTTTGAGTGAAATTGATGTCACAAATGGTAGTCATTATATCGACACCAGTAGTTATTTGACCGCTTTCTGTGAACATCAAAAGCCATTGCGGGCAAAAGCCAACATCACATGGGATATCGCACTACTATTGACCGGGTATTCAATTGGGGTTTGCTTTAAAACCAGTATTTAATTAATTAATTTGTTTATTATTTCAGTCAAAACGTGTGGTCAAAGGATAATAAGAAATTGGACGAGGATTTGGGTAATTAATAATTACTAATTATATACTAATCATTGAAAATACAATTAAATGTTCACGTTTTAGGTCTGGCCTTTACGCGGACCATATGTGGTAACAGCGCGTGTGCTTTGGTTAAGACCAGAGAACTGACAGCACCGGCCACTATAGCTCATGAAATGGGCCACAAGTACTAATGACCACGTTTTAGGTCTGGCCTTTACGCGGACCATATGTGGTAACAGCGCGTGTGCTTTGGTTAAGACCAGAGAACTGACAGCACCGGCCACTATAGCTCATGAAATGGGCCACAAGTACTGGTCATTCAATTAGCGATTAAAACAATTGTTATAATTTTAAATTTAATTTTTTAACTAAAAGTCTTGGTTTGGATCATGATGGAGAGGGTAAACTGGTCAGTTGTGCCGATAATATACATATAATGGCTCCCAAACAAAGTATCGGACGACTGTCCCAATGGTCCGACTGTAGTGTCAATCAAATGAGAGAACAATTTGAAAACATTACGTTTGTTTCAATGGGAATGTGTTTTATAGAAATTATAATCACTTTTTACTTTGTTTTATAAAAATTAGTGCCAAATGTTTGACAGAACTGCAAAAACCGGCGCAAACACTGTCACCACAGTTTGATTTCTCAAACAAAGCACTTCCCGGTGTTATTTGGCCGGTTGACCATCAGTGCAGATTCAGTTGGGGAATCAAATACCAGGCCATCACATCCAAACCCTATCAGGTATGCTATGGTTAAATGATGGCTTGAATTGATTATGGTTTTAATGGCAACTGTTGTCTCAGGATATATGCTATTCATTGCATTGCCGGGCAATTAATGAATGGTTTGAATCGGATTTAGGGTATGCGGCGTTTGAGGGCACTCTTTGTGGCACTAAAATGATTAACAATATTGATGTCAAACATTATTGCCGTTCAGACGTCTGTTCAGATGTCGTGACATAAATATTATCACAAACTTATTTATTTTATTTATTCATATTTTGATATTAATTAATATTATATCAATTCAATTAACACTAATATTCATTTAATTGAACACAACTTTTGTGTTGAAATAAAACATTTACTATTTTTGACAAACATTTCTTCGATTAATGAAATTACAAAAAAAAATCTCTTATTTAAATGAAAGTTATTTTTTATATTGAAATAAATGTTTTTTTAATTAATAGTTTTATATGCAATTAGTAGTGATTATCCGTCACAATATTTGCCACAATTTTCTTCATTACATTTAAATCGCTTTTCCTTCGAATGACCGCAACTTTTGTGTTGAAATAAATATAATTTTGTTGTAAAACTTTTGTTACAATCATTGAAATCACAAACAAACCTTAATTTTTGGGCTTTCTCAACTGGCCTTTCACCCACTTGTTGAAATCCCTCTTGGTGGCCGGTGACTGGCCGTTATACCATGCCCCCTTCACGTGGTACTCAATTAAGCCGTACTTAACGGTAAAGTGCACGAAGTCGTGATAATACCGGTAGTAGTAGAGCCCTGTCTGTACGACAACGATATAAACATTTAAATTTTCAAACATTATTAATGTAATCAAATGAACACAACTTTTGTGTTTAAATAAATGTTGTTTTGTTATAAAACTTTTGTTACAAACAATAAAATCACAAACAAATGGTTTTTCTCCCGAATGTATGCATTTGTGTTGAATTAGATTTCGTTTATCAGTTAAACTTTTGTCACAATTTTCTTCATAACATTTGAATTTTCTTTCATTCAAATGAACTCAAGTTTTGTTTCGAAATAAATATGATTTTTGTACAAAACTTTTATCAAAATATCTGATTTAAATGAACAATATTTTTGTGTCTAATTAAATATGATTTCTGTTTAAAACTTTTGTTGCAATCATTGAAATCTCACATAAATTGTCTTATATTTGAATGAATTAATTGATGTCTATTTAAATCACTTTTTCGTTTTGTCTTATATTTACAATCAGTCCAAAGACAGTGAAAATACTTATAATTATGAATTATGTAATTAATTGAAAGCAATGTTTGTCTGATTTTGAATGGTATGCAATACCTGGATGTCTCCGCCAAACTCTTCGTGGCAAACCGCGACATTCCAGGAGAGACTGTAAGTATCATTCATATGATCACCCAAACGCTTCCAGAAGTAAGTGAGCCGACGATCTTCGTGTTTGGCCGCCCACTGGCCGTCGGTTAGCATTGTTTGGATCGACTTTTCCAATGCCAACCGCTTGTCACGTGTGAACGTGTCGGACCACGTCCTCCAAAGCACCACCACATCAGACATCCCTCTCTCTGTACATACAATTAAATCACATTTAAATGGTTTTTCTCCCGAATGTATGCGTTTGTGTTCATTTAGATATGATTTTTAAACAAAACTTTTGCCACAATTTTCTTCATTACATTTGAACCGCTTTTCATTCAAATGAATACAACTTTTGTGTTGAAATAAATGGGAATTTTTATGCAAAACTTTTATTATAATTATTTAACTCATAATTTTCTCCACAAATCATAATTAAATCTTTATTTAAATGAAATTAACAATAAATAACAATAAATTCAATTCAAATATTTTCTATTTGTGTTCATTAGATAGTGATTTCCATTTATAACTTTCATTGCAATCATTGAAATCACATTTAAATAGTCTTATATTTTAATAAATTATTTGATGTGTTTTTAATTCAAATGTTTATTTTCTCTTAAATTCACAATTAGTCCAAAAATAGTTAAAATACTTGTTATTAATTAAATTAAATGTTTGACTGATTTTGAATGTTTTGCGTTTAATTGTTTGATTGAAATGTAAATCCAAATGATTTAGTCATTTAAACGTTTCATTCAAAACACTATTATTTGTATACAAAATACATTGCATTTTGTCTATCGTTTTGCTAAAAATCGTCATTTCATTAAATCAAACACTCATTAATTGTGAACCCATTTTATTAATTAATTTAAACACTTATTAATTATTTAAAATTAATATTAAATTATAAACTGAATATTAAATCTTACTTTTAATGATATAAAATACTTTTAATTCACACCAAATGTCTCTTCAAGTCCTAAACTATAGATAAATCAAAGTTTAATCAATTAATTAAACGTTTAAATAATTTATAACATTTAAAATACCGTCGATTATGACCTGCACTTAACAAATAAATTGTTACAACAATTTATTTAATGTTAAAAATGCTTAATTTAATTGAAAAACTCAATTTTCACACAAAACACAAACTTTTGCTTCAATTAATAGACACAATGTGTGAAACCAATGCTTTGGACACAAACTTTAAAATGGCTGTCAGTGTTAGTTATAATTGTAGTTTACGTCACATTACGTAACGTAATATGTCATGACGTCACAGGACACCGCCCACCAGCCCTAACCAGACCTTATTAACACTATTTTGAAAATTATTTGACAGTACTTTTATATAAATTCAAATGTCAGTCAAAATTTTATTAAATTTCGCAAAAATTATTTATTATGTGTTAAAACAATTTTACTTAATCTGCAATTAAATTATTACAATCATTGAATTCACATTTAAATGGTTTTTCTCCCGAATGAATGGGTTTGTGTGCAGTTGTAGTCAGAGTTGAGTTATTTGCAAAACTTTTGCCACAATTTTCTTCATTACATTTAAATTTACTTTCATTTAATTGAACACAACTTTTGTGTTCGAGTAATGTGTCATTTCTTTTATAACTATTATTACAATTATTATAATTGCATTTAAATTGTTTAATATTTGAATGAATTAATTGATGTCTTTCTAAATCGCTTTTCTTTAATGCATTAAATTGACAATTAGTCCAAAGACATGAAAATACTTACTATTATTATAATTGTTATTAATATCAATAATATTATCACTTATTTTGAAGTTTTGCAATAAATAATAGTTTGATTAAAATGTATGTAAAAATAGTTGAATAATTCAATGTTTTCATACAAAACACTATAATTAGTATTTAAAATAAACTGAAATGAGTGTAACTTTAGGCACAAAGTGTTGATTGCTTTGAATTGTCGTAACATTTAATGGTTTGTAATGTCTTTGTGAGTGATTTGATTGATTTGATGCCACGTTTGGCTGTCGTTGTCTTCGGTGGCCATCACTTCATCGACTCGGAGATTGTGTCCACACATGTGTCCACACTTTGATCAAGACTTAACTACTCATTCAAAATTAATTGTGAAAACAGGAAAACTCAATTGAATACAATTTTAACAAATGGTTTTCAGACAAAATAGCAATAATACATTTTAAAAATTTCAAATTATAAACAATAAGCTAACATAACAATGAAAATTTTGAAAAATACCATTTATTTAACAATATATAAAATTAAATAAATTTTGAAAACGCAATTTTTACAAGATATTTTTGACATATATTTTATTCGCATCACCAGAATTGTGGTTAAAGTATAACTTTTGCTATAAACCTTGTTTCAGCCATAACATGCTTTAACAAATATATCGATAATTGTATTATAAATTCATTATTATTATTATTTTAATATTATCTAATACTGTGTAATAATAATTAGTATTTTTATGGCATTTATTAAACCAAAAATCTATTGTCAACCCATAGTTACAAATACAAAGATCTTTTATAACAGACAAAGTATTAAAAACTATATTCAGTACAAGAAATGCAAAACTATTTTAATTTAGTTTTTGTCAAAGTCTGTCAGTTTGTGTCTTAAGGGATCAGTTATGGACAAAAGGAGGTCAGCGTTCGTGCAATCGGTCACCGATTCATTCAATTATTACTTACATTTCAGAATCAAAGGTATTTTAGGTAGGGTGACCAACTGTTCTTTTTTCCCGGGACAAGTCCCTGTTTGGTACATTTTATCCTGGTGGAGTTTTCACATGAATCATTGAGCGTCCCGGGGAAAATGGCATGTTACCTAAAATGTCCCTGTGGAAATTATGAATAGTCCAGCAATGTTCCGGAATTTTTAATTATTTTTTATGAAATGTCCCGGTTTTAAAAATTTGGAGTTGGTCACTCTAATTTTAGGCCACAAAACTGACCGCAAGTTTTCCACGTCTTACACAACAATCGGTTACTTTCGGCAAAAGAAAGCCGTCTATAAGTTCCTACAGTCGCCGACCGGACCACTCGGTCGCGCCTATCATAACGTTGTCATCACTTTAATAATCGTATGTCTGTTAATGACAATCATTTCCACATTCAATGGTTAGTAAAATCATTGAAAAAATTAATAACAAATCAAATGTTGATTGACTTATATTTTCAAAGTTTTCAAATTCATTACCGATGGCCTGGAGTTTGGGGTCGATATACTTGTAGTGTTTGTATATGTGATAGAGTTTGGTCTAAGGCTATGGTCGTCGACGTGTGTGTCTCGGTATCGGCACTGGAGGGGACGGCTGGTGTTTATCGCACACCCGTTCCGTGTGATTGACATCGTTGTGATCGTCACCTCAATCCTAATGACCATATTTTATATTACAAACCAATACTCAAACAAATGGTTTATTAATATTAGATTCTTTCATACATTCAAATTGGTTAGACTTCAGCACCGTTTCAAGCCGTGGGATGTATTGGCTTCAGTATTGCGGACACAACGCACCCAACTGTACATAAGTATGTGTTTTAAACACATTTCAAACTATTATGTAATTTAGTTTAAACTTGATTTACCGGTACATAAAACCCAAAGCGTTATACATCTCATTCCTGGCACTACTCTTCACATCATTTCTCATATATTATGTGGAAAGGGATGCGAACCCTATGTTTAACAATATGGGCCAAAGTCTGTGGTATACTATCATCACATTTTGCACAATCGGTATGAAAGTGAGCCATACATTTCCAATATAACCATGGTCGTGCTTGTTCCTGTTTGTACATTAAGGTTATGGCGATATCTATCCGCAGACAACACTCGGTAAACTATTGGCCAGTATTTGCGCGGCTATTGGCGTCTCATTATTTGCATTACCCGCCGGTATATTAGGTGTTGGACTCGCCTTAAAGGTGTCAAACCTATCGTTATATTAAAATTATTAATTAAATTGACATTTATGTAAAAAATATATCAATTATTTATTACAATTATTATTTAACTACAGATTGAAGAACAGCAACGGCTCCGACAGATGGTTAAGCGTCGGATACCGGCGTTTGTATTGACTAATATTATACAATAATAAAATATAATTAAAATGTGATTAAAAATTTAGGGCAAAACTAATACAAAGCAAATGGAGATATCATCGCTTCGACAGACACTTTACACTCATGAGTGTTGGCGTCCGTAAAGCGGGCTTTCAATGGCGGGCCGTATCGGGCGATCAGAGTCCACACCCGGGTCTCAACGAAGCCATTTGGATGCGATTCGCGCTGAAGACCACACTATTGGCCGCGCGAAGACGTTTCGGACAATCATTAAAGCCATACGACGTGAAGGATGTGTTGGAACAGTACTCTTCAGGTCATACGGAAATGTTGGCCAAAGTTAAGCAAATCTATAACAGAGTCACTGGTTTTGAAAGTATGGCTGAGAATGGCTTCAAATGTCAACTCGAGTCCAAAAATGTGTTAATCTATCGCTTGTCTAAAGTGGAGGACGGCTTACGAGACACTCAAAACATATTGAATCAAATTCTTAACATTCAAACAGAAAATAAGGTTTTATATGAAAATATGTGGCAATACTTGCAATCAAATAGCAGTGGAAGTGATGTTAATGTTTAATAATTCAATAACTATTGGAGTAATGTCGAGGATTTAATTTATATTCAATTTAATTTGAGCTTGGTTAACCAGTTTTGAATTATTTGTGATAAAATACATTTTTCAAAAAGTTGGGTCACAATAAAAAAAACATTAAAAATACGAAACATTTTTTAAAATTAATTTTGTAAATTTAATTGAACTTTTATTTATGACATATTTAAGTTGTCATAAATTGTGAGCTTATATCAAGTTAAAATTATACTAAATCACACTGTCATATAGTAATTGTACCATGTTGTCAATTTAAAATAAATAATTTAAATTATATATAAATTACAATGTAACTGCAATGCTACACTTTAACATGGGTTGGAAAATAGATTTAGGCAGTTATTTTAAAAAGGGGGCTAAATTCAATTAGGGGTAAATTAAAAATAATTTCTAACATAATTCATAAACCTCGATAAATGCTAGTTAATTTGATATACATAATAGCCATTTGAATTAACCATGTTTAAAATAGTTGAAATTTTATAGTGCGGATTTGTCTGCCTCAAGTTTTGTAAATACATCTAAATATAATTGTACTTTGAGATCTTATAAATAACCTTGTTAAGTTTGCTAATAGTTTGCATAATTAGCATAATCTTCAGTTTGTTTGCCGATAAAAATGTGTATACTATTAATAAAAATGCTTAATCTCTGTGTTTTGCGATAACAAGTGATAAAATGTAAAAATAGTTTTGATAATAAATATTTGAATTGAACAGCAAATTAAATATAAACAAGATTTAAATCCCCAAAACTTAGCCACCTTTTCCGAAAAAGTAATTTGAAAATTAACTAAAGTTTAAAAATTCTCAGACTACAGTAGGAAAAACTAAAATGATCATGATAACAATGTACAATATCCATTTAGCACATGCACTTTCAATACAGTAATAGTTTGCTAAAAATCAGTTCAATTTATAACAGGATGAGAGTTGGTTTGGGGTATTGATGGATGAGAGAGGGGGTCAAAGCGTAATTATAGACCACAATTTGAGGTGAATTGTGGTCTAAATAAAAGTTCAAATCGCTATTAAAATGTTTAAAACACGTCCACAGAAACCACACAAAGACTGGTTTCCGCAACACAAGTGTCGGCACAAGTGGTGCACAAAAAACACTGCATTAGTATTATTTACAAGTGGTTTGTATTGAGCGCCACATCACGTGATCTCTGCCTACCATTCAATAGGAGAGCGTTTTTCACACATTTTGTTGTGTTTTGTGTTTTTCTTTGCATTGATTTGTATTTTTCAAAACCAAAACAAATGAGTAAATCGTTTGTCTCAATGAAAGCCGTGATTAAGTGAAGATAATAAGGAAGCCATGGATCAGCTGACGATCGTTCGCGAGTTCGCGTCGTTGGCGCCGGTGATGGCGGACCGGGAGCTGTGCCGACGCGTGCGACTGTTGGCCGCCTTCGGGTTCAACGGCTCGGAAGTGCTGTTCGTGACGGCGGAGGACAACGCCTACTGTTTCGGCCCCAATAGGTTCGGGTGTCTCGGACTGGGCATCGATGCCGACACACCGGTCGACGCGCCCCGACTTAACCGCCATCTGTCGGGCGTTCAGTTGGCGAACCTCTACTACGGCTTCGGCCACTGTATTGGACTGACAGCGTGTGGACAGCTGTACGCGTGGGGCGAGAATACGTACGGCCAGTTGGGTATCGGCTCTTTCGAGACCACACCGACGCCTGTAGTGATCACCGCCTTCACGAAGAAGCGAGTGGTGGACATCACGTGCGGTAATAGGCATACACTGGCGCTGACGAGCGATGGTCTTGTGTACGGCTGGGGCCGCAACACGTTTGGCCAGATCGGCGACGGCACGTGGTGTTGGCGCCAATGGCCGACTCCCGTCTCTATTGACGAGCCAATCAGCGCCATATCGTGCGGTAAATGCCATTCACTCGCCCTCTCGACGGCCGGCCGGCTCTACGTGTGGGGTCTCAACGATTTCGGCCAATTGGGTCGACACAGAGATAACGATATGAAACACTTCGCCGACGGACGCGTCAAAGAGCGGGCGTTCGGCGAGTGTCCGGAACCGGTGGACGGCTTTGAAGACACTGTCGTCCGAAAGGCGTGTTGCGGACCAAATCACACGCTTATGCTCACCGCTGAGGGAGATATCTATGCGTTCGGTTTCAACGATTTCGGTCAGATTGGGAACGGCTGTCACGACAACCAATACACGCCACTGAAGGTCGACGCGGAGACCAAATTCAAAGACATTGTCGCGCATTACGACAATAACCTGTCGATCGGTGTCTCAGTGGACGACAAGTACTGGGTTTGGGGTTTCAATTACAAGAAGAAAAAGATCTCAAAGCCTTACAATGTGAGCAAATGGACGGCCAGTTATACTCTGGTCGACGTTTTCGCCCGGTATTCAGGAATCAGCAAAACTT